AGAATAGAATAGAATAGAATAGAATAGAATAGAATAGAATAGAATAGAATAGAATAGAATAGAATAGAATAGAATACTTTATTGGCCAAGTGTGATTGGACACACAAGGAATTTGTCTTGGTGTAAATACTCTCAGTATACATAAAAGAAACGATACATTTGTCAGGAGTCAAGAATCATCAGGTACAACACTTAATGATAGTCATAGGGTATAATAAGCAATAAAATCATACTAGGAAACAGTCAATATAAATTGTAAAGATACAAGCGACAAATTTACAGTCCTACAGTCACAAGTGGGAGGGGATGGGTGATAAGGAGTGATGAGCAGATTAACAGTAATAGTAGTGCAGACTTTGTAATAGTTGAATAGGGTTGAGGGAATTAATTGTTTAGCAGAGTGATGGCATTCAGGAAAAAACTGTCCTTGTGTCTAGTTGTTCAGGTGTGCAGGGCTCTATAGCGTCGTTTTGAGGGAATGTTCTAAAATAAAACGTTTTCAAGGGAAAAAAGAAAACAAGAAAAGTGAGGTTGCCTTTTGGAAAAAGCACTTTTGGGACAGCATGTTCTCCTTTGGTATAACTTTTACGATGTTACGTAATAATGGGCATTTTCTTTCATTTTAAATCAGGAAGCTTTTAAGTATTGCTTGCTGCTTGAGGGATTTGTGATACAGTTCTTTCCTCTTTTTAATCAGTTTTTCTATTGTTTTTATGTGCTTTCTTTCCCCCCTCTTTTGTGCATATCTTCAGTAAAAACTTTCTAAGATAAAAGTCGCGTGCTGTTTGGTTTGGTTTTAAACCCACTCGGTTCCGCTGCCTAGTCTCCTGGAACTGTTGACTCTTCTTAGCCTCGATTTTCGTTTTATGTGATCCACTTTCTCAGTTACTGATCGCTTTTTCCTCCCCGCTAGGCCTGGGAGGTCATGCATACCTGAGAGAATGGCTCTGGTGGGGAGGACTAATATCCAGTAAGTATATCTTGAGATTTCTCTCTCTTCCCTTAAATATTTTAATTTATAAGACTAGTGGCAGTATGTAGACATTCTTGAGGAAGGAGCTTCCTTTCCCATAAACTTTGTTAAGAAATCTACAAATATGTATATATATTTATGCCGAAGCAGTTGCCATCAATTGATTGAAGCCTCTTCTATGTGTGAAGAAATAAATTTATGCCAATCTACGCCTTCCGTGGGCATAAGGTTTGTCAGTGGCTGGTTTTCCACATACATCACATGTTTAACCAATGCTCTTGCTATGTTGCTTTTAACCATGTTATTGTAAGCTTGGTGCTGACAAATCAATACAAAATACTTGCATCTACCGCTGTTCGTTTTTTAAGTGCATTGTGTAAATCTACAAAATTACCATCCCATTTAAATATCGTATTTTAGGGGCATCGTCGACCTCTTAGAAGACTCACAAACACACAAAGGGAACTTCATGGATGTGCTTCAGGTTGTCAATTTGGTTATTTGCTCCCTACCCCACCCAATGGATGCCGTGGTAACAACCCACATTGTGTCCTGGGGGGGAAAAAAAACCTCTCTAAATATTTCCGATCACAACTAAGGAGTCAGTAAGTGACTCTCTACCTTGGGTCAAACTCAGTACGAGCAACAACTGAATTTCATAATTTAGGAGTTTGTTTTTTTGCACTTCTGATGAGTTGTTTTTGTTTGTTTGTTTTAAATTTTACAGTGGGGATTGGAGAAGCTGCAAATTTTGCGGCCTATGCTTTCGCCCCAGCCACGCTGGTTACTCCCCTAGGAGCCCTTAGTGTTTTAGTCAGGTAAGTTCATCTCATAAAGGAGAATATTTCTAGCTTGGGGTTGACAGGAGGGGTCGGTGCTCTCTGAGCTTGGTTGTTTTCTTGCAGTTTCACAACCCAACTAGGGAACATCATCAGTGCTTAGAAGGAAGGGGGATTTGAGGAAAGGAGGAGGAGGAGGAGGACTGTGGGGTCCTTGGTGCCCTCTGAACTTGGTTGTTTTTTGCAAATGTTTTATGACCCAACTAGGGAACATCCTCAGTGCTAGTGCTCAAATTCATGTTGTCGGACATATCTTAGAGATGACTGACGCCTTAACGTTCAGGACCATCTCTGTGGTGTTGTTTTTTCTCTTCAAGCAAACTAATCTTGTTGTTTCTTTTGTTCTACAGTGCGGTTTTAGCCTCCTATTTCCTGAACGAGCAGCTGAACATCCATGGAAAGATTGGGTGCCTCCTGTGCATTTTGGGATCTACCGTAATGGTGATCCATGCTCCGCAAGAGGAAACGGTTGCCAGTCTGGACTCAATGTTAGAGAAACTGAAGGATCCAGGTACAGAAAAAGCCTGTTTCCTATGCAGGCAGTCCTCAAATTATGACCACAATTGAGCCCAAAATTTCTGTTGCAAAGCCAGTACCGTTGTTAAGTGAGATTTGCCCCATTTTACGACCTTCCTTGCCACTGTTCTTAAGTGAATCACTGTGTCAACTTGTAAAGCATTCCTGGTCTGCTCTCGAGTTGCCATAAGAAGGGGGGGAAGAGATCTGATGGAGCAGTTAGGTTGCTATGACCAGAAGCACATTCCATGCATACCTTTCCACAGATTGTGTCCCAGGTTACCAGAGCTAGCCAGAGAGGCGTGCTTCTTGGTTGGAGAATGTGATTTATGACACACCCTGGGAGGAGGGGGGAACCAGGGCCATAGGTGGGTGGTAAATTATGTAGGGCAGAGCAGGATTGCACTTGGGGAAAAGTGCCTGGCATATTGCTCCTAGTAAATAATTGGATTTCTTTTGAAGCTTGGCTCGAGGCTCATGAATTAATTAGGGCATCCATCGGAACCCTGACACACTGCAGTTGTGAAGTTAGTAGCATGGTTGTTAAGTAAAACCAGCCTCCCCATTGACTTTGCTTGTCAGAAGGTTGCAAAAAGGGTTCACACAACCCCAGGACACTGCAAATAAATACCTTCCAGTAGCCAAAAGTCTGGATTTGGATCACGTGACCGGGGAAATGCTGCAACGGTTGTAAGCATGAAGAATGGTCATGTCATGCCTTTGTTAGAGTCAGACTCTGAGGAAGAGGAGGAACAGCCGACAGGGAGTGGAGGTGTGGCTCCGGAGGTTGTGGAGGAAGCTGGGGAAGGGCAGAGGCCGGCTGGGCAGTCAGAGGAAGAACCAGGCCCATCCCCTCTTCATCCTAGGGCACACAGGGGGGAATGGAGATGGAAACAACTTGGCTTATGAGAGAGGAAGCGGCCATGACCCTCCTCATTGGTTGCAGCTGGGGAGAATAGTATATAAGAGAAACGATTACAACACAGCGTTGCCAGAAGCAGTGTTTTTGGGGAGCTGAAGTTACCTTGGTTGGTGTCCTTCCAACCGACTGCCTTGTTATCTCCTTGAAGTTGGTAATTACTTATCCTGGTCCATTGTAGAAATTCCTTCACTGTAGTTTGTTTGTTTTTTTTTATTTCACCTCTATCTGCTCATTAAGTTCGGACTGTATTGCTTTCTTTTGAAGACTATTTTTGAATACCTTTTATCTCCAACGGAGAATTATTGAACAGTGGGGCCAAGTTGGAGGCATTAAAGGACATTTATTTATGTTTTGGATTTTGTTACATTTGTGTTACACTCCGGGTCATCACAGGCCATAAGTCACATCTCCCAGTGCTGTTCTAAACTTCCGACAACAGCAGCAGCGGAGTCCGAGACATGAACCGCCTTCTTATTTTCCTTCCTCCCGCAGGATTCATTGTCTTCGCCACCTGCGTGCTGGTGAGCTCGGCGCTTCTCATCTTCGTGGCCGGGCCTCGCTACGGGCAGAAGAACGTCCTGGTGTACATTCTGATCTGTTCGTCCATCGGCTCGCTCTCTGTCGCTTGCGTCAAAGGCTTGGGCATCGCCCTGAAGGAGCTGTTTGCCGGGAAGGCCGCCTGGAAAGAACCGTTGGGCTGGGCGCTTTTCCTCAGCTTGGCGGTCTGCATCGGCATCCAGATCAACTACCTGAACAAGGCCCTGGACATCTTCAACACCTCCGTGGTCACCCCCATCTACTACGTCCTCTTCACCACCGCCGTCATGACCTGCTCCGCCATTCTATTCAAAGAGTGGCAGCACCTGGTTCTCATGAACATCGTCGGAACCATCAGCGGCTTCCTTACCATCGTGCTGGGCATCTTCCTTCTCCACGCTTTCAGGGACGTCCCGTTCTCCGCCGATCTGCTGCCCGTTTTCCTGAGGCCTAAGCAGAAAGATCTCCCCGGGGCTTCGTGGAGGGAGGAAGACAAAAACCGGCCGTGTCTTCACCAGCCTCTTCTGGATTCAGAGGACTCGGAGAAAGGAGACAAACCCGAGGAGCAAGACATTCAAAGCTTATGAAAGCTAAAAAGTTGACTTGAAATCATTTAAGCTCTTTCGGAAGTTTCTAAAACTTCCTTCTCCCCGGAGAAATTTTTCCACCCCACCGGCAATGCAGAACTATTTGGGGACCATTTCTTTACAAAAATGTTTTTACTGGGAGCATGCTTGATGGTAGTCCTATTAGATTCGAGCTGATAAGGCTAGTAGGGGCTCTGGGGGTGGTCTTCTTTCTTTCCAGCTTCCAGAAGAGAGCACAGGAAGCTTTGTGCCTGTGGATGGGACCTGGGGATATGTTGAAAGCATATATATATATATTAAAAAGTGGTCGGTGATGCGCTTATGTATTGTTTTAAAAATACGAATACCTCCATGAGCTCAAGAATGGGCAAGCAATCTTGTCCCGTCCTGGGAATGGAAGAAGCACCCTGGAGAAGATGGATAGAAGCAAGAGACTGACATCAGGGCAGAGAGGAACCTGGAAAAGGCATTTCTGTCCCCCTTCCTTCACTTGACTGACAGATATGAACTGGAAGAATGCAGAGGAAAAGAAAATGGAACGGATGTTGGGCTTGAAGGCAGAGTAACCATAAAGGGAGCATATAGCTCTTTAAATGAGGCACACGTGGAAAAACAAGCAACAGGCCTATTGAAATGTGTTCGCAAACTTCTTTACCTTGAAGATTAAAAAAAAAAATTCTTACTGCTGTTTTCTGAATCCAGTAAAGTATTCTGCTGCCTTTTGAATGTAACAAAGCCTTTTAGGCTTTGCCTTAAAACTTTACAAATTATTTAAAATAAAATATTTTCTTTATATGACTATAAGGCGTGTTGCAAATGTAAAATGTGACTTTTAAAAGAGTTATTAAAGAATATTTTTCAAATATGTTTCTTTGGCTTGTTATGTTTTTTCCTTCCCCCCAAAAATCAGTCCCTTATTTCATGTCCAGGAATGGGCTTATACTGCTATCTAATTTTTGTGTTTGCAATCAATAACTCCAGTGAATTCCTAAATCCTCTTGCTGTTTTTCATTCTAGCAGCGGCACAAAATGTAGGCTGGGTGATTGGCCATTTAAGTGTAGAAAAGTGATTTGTGTAGACTGTTGTTCCTTTGGAGATTTAGGAAAACCAAGCCTTAAGACTTCAGGCTAGAAAGTGAAACTACTAGTCCAAACCAGTATAAGTCAGTATACCAGTCCTAAATTCCTGATCTGTGATAACAAAGGCTGCCTTTCCAGCTTATTACCTTTTTATTCAGCTCGGTTCCATCCAATCATTTACCCAAAATAAAGTTTTCTTAGTTGTTTCTAGAAAACACCTTTTACATGTATACTGTAATGTCAGTTTTGGGAACAACAATATGGCAGCCAGGCAAAAATGAGTTTTGTACCAATCAGCCAGTGTTAACCACATTCAAAGTGGGGATAAGTCCACTCCTGTTCCCACGTTCCAAGATCTCCCTTCTAAACGTTTTTGAAGGTTAGTAAATTTAGTGATTGCATCTATGAATTGTTGGAAAGTGGGACTTTTTTCCCTCCTCAATTTTCTGGTTTTCACTCGGGTGGCACGATAAAACCATGAAAAAGAGAAAAACATAATAAATAACAAACCTGGTGGGGTAATTTGTGCAAGTGTAGAGATCACCACAGAACGAACCTTTAGCATGTGTCGGGTTTAAAGATACCAAGACTCAGTTGCAAGATAAATGTTTCTCTTAGCCTGTATTTTTATCAGTCATTGCAGCCCAATACAGCAATCCCTCTGGAATCTGGAACAGTTAAGACATGTCTAAGCTAGTGAAATAATTTATAGCAGAAACCTGATGAAAACTTTACATTCATCTCTCCAAAAATTCTTCGCCTCACACATCAAATGGCTTTACCACTCTTGATGAAATCAGCATTTCATGATCTTTGGTAAGAAGGCAGAAGGGCCAGCAAGCTCTGCAACTTTCTTGGAGCCATACATTCCCAGTCAGCGGACAAGGAGCAATTAAAACCAGTAGTTAAAGACGCTACATATGCTCCCTGCTTTGTGAATTGGCCAGCAATAGGTCAATTGCAAGATATGATTTGAATGCAAAATGAGAACACTTTAACATTCTAGTTCTATAAAGGACCAGGAACTCATTCTCAGATCGATGCCGAATCCAGAATTTAAATCTAACTCGCTTTGAGAGCCACACTTTTAGGAAGGTTAGGCTAGAACATGCAGTTGCTACTAAAAAGCATTCCCTCGACGTCAAGGGTCTTCGAACTTGGCAAGTTTTAAGACTTGTGCACTTCCAACTCCCAGAATTCCTGAGCTAACATAACTGGAGGAGGAATTCTGTGAGTTTTAAGCTGTCAAGTTTGAAGACCCCCTTGCTCTACAGCTGGAAGGAACGACCACCGACTCCAGAGTTTAAAATGCATCCAATTGATGTTTATTCCACTGATCAGGAGGCAAGGAATTTGATGTAGAAAGTCAAGATTTGATTGATTTATTTTTTGTACTTGGCAAAAGAGACATACATGACCACATGAGCGATAACCCTTCTTAACAGCCACACGTCTGGAGGGGGTGGGGGGTATTTCTTTCTACTGTGCTGAGGTAGGTTTTGAAAAACACCTCACGAAAGACAACAGGTTTCTACTGGCATCCTTTTGCAACCTAATCCCCGTGTCCCTCTGTCCAACCGCAAGATCCACCTGTGTTTTTACAAAGGTTTAACTTGGCTGCAAATTCAAGCCAGCGACATTTGGATTGTTTAAAAGAGCCATGCTTATGCACAGTACCGTTTTAAAAGGCACATTTACCCACAGCTGCGTTAGTATCTCAGGCCTCTCCCCTTATCTCAAAAAAGAACATGTTTCAAGTTTCAAGGGGTGTGCTTTCCCCCACCTTACTTCTGAGTAAAGATAATCAAGCCACCATTCTGGCATGAAGCTCTCATTATCCAGGTGAAGAAGAAGAAAAAAAATGTTACAATCTACAATAGCAGACGTCCGGGTTAAATAGCTGGTGTACGATGTTGCATGGTTATTCATGTTCACCCAGTGGGGGCATTTTTTAACACCAGAACTAGACTAGGTGACCAGGGAGCTCTGAAGTCCATCGCAAACGTGGGGCCAAGCTCCCTCACAGCTTATCATTGTTAAAAAAATCCTTCCTTCGGTTCTTTCTCCTCCCCTTCCATTTCAAAACAGCGTCCTCCTTTTCACATGGAAGAAAACAGCGCCACTGAAGGCTTTCCGCTCAGTCAGAGAGGCTTTCGGAGAACGGCGACTTAGATTTCTGCGTCTGCTCCAACCGGTTAAGAATAAACTGGCTGGTGTCAATGAAACGCTCGACACAGTTCACAAAGCAAGTCTCGGCTCGGCTGTCCAGCTTGGGGCCAGGCTTATCCATGCATTTCTCCTGTTTAGTGTCACAAAAGAGAAGTCAATCAATAGCAAGGGGGAACCCATCATTTCAGACCCGTGACTAGCAAAAATACATAAATCTATTCTTTCTTTCTTTCTTTCTTTCTTTCTTTCTTTCTTTCTTTCTTTCTTTCTCTTTCTTTCTTTCCTTCCTTCCTTCCTTCCTTTCTTTCCCTATCCAAATTGCTGCCAACTGTACCGAGACTTGTTTCTACCCACAAAGAAAAACTCAACAAGCACAATTTGTAACACTTATGTATTTAGATAGATAGATAGATTGATAGATAGATGATATAGTCATAGGTGGGTAGGTAGATATGGTAGGTAGATGATGATAGATGACAGATAGATGATAGGTGATAGATATAGATGATAGATAGATAGATAGATAGATAGATAGATAGATAGATAGATAGATAGATGATAGGTGATATAAGATATACAGTAGGTAGGTAGATGATAGATACGGTAGGTAGGTAGATACGATAGATATGATAGGTAGGTAGGTAGATGATAGATTATAGATTATAGATAGATGACAGATGATAGATAGATAGATGGGGGGGGGGAGGCAGCCAGCCACTTGCCAATCCAGCAGATGAGCAGATTGGGTGATATTATTAGATGAAAGTTACCCTAGTTTTGCTTAAAGAAGCAAGAGTGGGTTTCAACAGTCGGATCGGTAACACTGACGTGGTGCTCGGTATTTGTAATAGTCTGATGTGGCGGCAGAAAAAGTTCTGGGGGAGACCCACTGGATCACGCAACTCATTGGATGACCCTGAACCATAAGCTGTCTTTAAACAGGGCTGTTGCGTGAATCCAATTAGGGGAAAACCCCATCTAAGCCTCTTTGAGCCTTCCAAGGAAAAGCGTGGAAAGAACCATAACGCACATTAAAAGGCCAAATTGGCAAAACTGTAAGTATTAGCATGCCAGGAGCTCTCAATATAAGACGTAGGAGAGTGCCACTCAGGGCAGCTTCCTGGTTCCCAGATGCCACCCAGAAGCCTGCCGGGCACAAAGCTAAGAGGTCCTCTCCCTGCAGAATCACCCTATTATTGCCAGCAGCAGCCAGAACTCCACTCCTAGGAGACTGCTCCTGACCCTGGAGGCTCTATTCCAGCCTACTCAAAGCTGGTACGTCCCACATTTTGGGGGATACTGCAGAAGCACCGGCGAGCCTCAGGGGTAGGGAAAGGCCCAATAATGGCTCCAATGCCCCCTTACCCCAAGGGGGACAAATCGAGAGTGTCCCTTGTGGGGGAGAACTATAGGTAGTTCTGACTAAGGAGATTCTCCGTCATCCAGGGCTCCGTTGTCCCAAAGGTGTTTTTTTCCCAAGAGGCAACTGGACTCTCTTGGTTTTTCTTTGAAGACGTTTTGCTTCTCATCCAAGAAGCTTCTTCAGCTCTGACTGGATGGTATTTATACTCCTTGCAGGCAGCTGGTCATTTGCACCCTTTTAGAGGGTCGTTGAGGACACAGATGAAGCTCCAAGGGGCCTCAATGACCCTCTAAAAGGATGCAAATGACCAGCTGCCTGCAAGGAGTATAAATCTTTCCATTCCCCACCATCCAGTCAGAGCTGAAGAAGCTTCTGGGATGAGAAGCAAAATGTCTTTTAAAAAAAAGACAATCCAGTCTTGCCTCCTTGAGAAAAAAAAGGGCAAAGAAGCACTTTTGGGCTACAGGTCATCCTCCACTTCCAACAGTTAGTTTAGAGAAGACACGGGAAAGAGTGGCTCATGCCCGCTTTTCCAACCGTTTGCAGCCTCTCCACGATCACCTGATCCAAATTCAGACACCTGGCAGCTGACTCAGACTTACGCCTGTTGCAACATCCCAGATCCCCTTTTGCAACCTTCTCACAAGCCAGGCCAATGGGGGGGGGGGGGGGGGGGGCATTATCAGATTCACTTCATAGCCACGTACTCGTTTAACCCCCGCCGTGATTCACTTAGCGACCGTGGCAAGAAAAATGGGGCAAAACCCCCCACTTAAGCTCAGTGTCTCGCTTAGCAACGTAAGCGTGGGGCTCCAAACTCCCACCCACCCCCCGTACTAGCGGGGTCCCTTTTCCCCCTCCCTCCTCCTCCTCCAGTGGCAGGGAGTTCCGCCGGCCCTGCCTCCCTACCCAGCACAGCTCCGTCATCTGGTGCACGAGCTGCTGGAAGCGCTGCTTCTGCGTCTCCACCTCGATGAAATGCTGCAGCTGCGGGTCGTTGACGGCGGCCCCCAAGTCCCCCGCGACGGACGACGGGTCCATGCCGGGCCCGGCTGGGAAGGAGAGAGAGCGCGGGCGGCTGAATGGATGGAACGGGCAGGACGTGCGACCTTCACGTGCCTCCCCGGGGCCGGCCCCTCCGCGCATGCGCGCCCGGCGCCCCGCTTCTTCCTCTCCTTCTTTTTCCGGCCGGCGCGTGCTTCCGTTTTCCGGCGGAGCATTCGAGAGAGAAGCGGCAAGACGGGCAGGGAGGGAGAGAAAAAAAAAAAGGGGGTGTGGAGGTGAGGGAAGAGGAAATCAGGCGTTGGGGTGCCCTCTCTAGGGATGGAGCGGTACTCGCTCGATGAGGGCCAACCCAATGTGATTACAGTGGCCCTATTGTATTCTCTGTGTGTATCATATATATCTATATATTTATAGTTATATCTATATGTATCTCTAAACAGTAGAATATGAATTCTATTGTACAGTGCAATATTAATGCAATATCAGGGGTTTTCAATTCAATTGTACAGAATGTGAAGGATGTGTCTTTTTTATTTTTATAGTTATAAAGTAAACAGAAGATGGTATTTAATTTCGCTGTACGAGGTGCAATGAAAAAGTAAACCACACACACACACACACACACATATAGTCCTAACACACACACACACACACACACACACACACATACACACACAC